GCCTTCCCCCCCCCCCCCCGGCCGGCCCCCCAAGCCACTCACTCTTATGTTACCACTAACAAGGCCTGTGTGGGCTCCGCAGGTTCCTGCTTCAGTCTCTGGAAGATCTGGACACGAGTTTAAGGAAACTGAACTCCCGCCTCTTCGTCGTCCGGGGACAGCCAGCTGACGTGTTCCCCAGGCTATTCAAGGTGCGTGTGGAAGGCCCTGGGAGACCGCAGGGTCCGACCTCCTGGGGGTCCCCAAAGGTTGAATGAGGTGAAAACTCTGACAGGAAATGGAAATGTCTGGCTGGTCTGGCCCTTGCTGCTAGAGAAGTGGGGAGCAGAGCAGCCGGGCTTGCCGACAGAATGGAGAGCGTGTAAAGGAAAATTCCGTACAACCGCTGTCTTGTGGGGAAGTTCCCAGCCCAGTCCAGACATGGGGTGTGGTAACTCACTCCACCCTGCAGGCCACTGGCTCCTGGAGTGTTTTCCTGGCTGGAGCCAGCCATGGTTAGTAGGGCGCCTTCCACTCCAGGACACGGAGGGCGGGGTTTCCTGCCCCGCCAGGGGCGTTGGCCATCTTGCTTTGCTCTGCTTGTTAGAGAAAGAAGTCGGCCTTTCGGAAGGAGCCTTCCTGGTTCCTCCGGAGTGCACGGGATGAAGGCTTCCCTTGGGCACCACACAGGCAGCCCCACTGCAGTGTCAGGCGGCCAGCGCACTGTCCCCCGGCCCCTTTCCCCCATCAAAAGCTTGTTTTAAGGCCAGAGGGAGGTGACAGTACTCGTGGACAGAGGGCTGTAGGACAGGTCCCGCCTTCCTCAGCCACACAGCCCCTTCCACCTCCACTCCCTCCCTGCTCTTCCTGAGAGGAGACACAGGTGGGAAGATCTCACATCAGGACAAACAGCGTAGTACAGACGTCACCATTCGCTTCCCCTCCACGCACCCACACGCATGACTAGGCACACGGACAGATCACACGGGGCTGCTAATTGCTAACTCTTGAGAGCTGACTGCAAGTTCTGTTCTGCGAGCCGTCATGCGCTAGCTCACTCCTCCCAGCAGCCTGAAGGGTAGTGACGCTGTCCCGGTTTTGCAGGGAGGAAACAATGATTTGCTCATGGTCATGACACTAGAGAGTGGCGGCCTCGGGTCCTCTGACTTCAGAGCTGTGTCTTTGACCGTACCCTTTAATCCTCCTTCTGCCCTCTGTTCCTGCCACCTTGCGTCCTTCCCCACAATCCGGAAGCCAGCCAGGAATAGCCGGAGAGAGAGGTGGACCGTCAGCCACCACTCAGTGTGTATTTACGGAGCTTCTGCTATGTGTTAGGCCCGATCCTTGGTGTCAGGGTCATGACAGATGTGACGGCCTGGTTTCCACTTGAGAGTTCGCACCCTGATGAAAAGACAGTCAAGTGATGTGCAGCTTTATCGCCACATGATAGAAAACGTGACGAACAGTGGACAAGGTGCAGGAGACTCATATTGAAGGAGGGGTCAAGGAAGGCTTCTTGGAGAAGGGGTCATTTGATACTGTTGTTATTGTTCACAGGGTTGATGTCGATCTTTAACCATGTAGCCTGCATGAACCACCACGCACAGCACCTGACTTACAGGAAGAGCTTAATAAACGTGTAGTGCCATTAGCCTTGGACAAGGGATAGCTGACCCTCTAGGCTAAGGCCCCACCCTCCAGGCCTGGCCAGGTCAGGACCAGAGCAGCCTGTGCGTGACCAGGACAATTGCCCTAGGGGCTCCGAGCTTTAAAGGACCATGCCCAGACACTTTGGAGTGTTTTTTCTTCTTGCTAGCTGCGTGCTCTAGGGCTTTCTTCTGGACGTCTGTCCAAGCTTCCACTGTGCCAAATTTCTCCTGCTGTTGCTAGGAGATCTAGAAATCTTAGCAGAAATGACTAGCAGCCTAGAAAAGAATTTCCTTTCAGCAATGCAGCCCCTCTGGACGAAGGCTTGCTCCTCCTTCCCTGACTCTCTGAGCTGGTGCCTATTAGCTCTGTTTGCTGCTGGCCTCGGAGTGTTGCTGTGGAAACCATGAAGACACTTCACATAGCACAAGTCTGCCAGGGAAACTAGGCCACAAGTTTGCAGGGCTGCGAGAGCTCCGAGAAGGCTCGCCGAGCAGAGCGGCGGGAGGTGGTGACTGTCCCCCACTGTTTCCACCCGTGAGTCAGTGCCTCTTTCCGGAGCCAGGGGCTCCCCTGGAAACCCTGTATTTTTAGCTGCTGCTGCATCCCCTCACCCTAAGGACTCAGCAAATGCATGGCGCTGCCCACCTCTTTCCCAACTACTCTGGCCATGCTTTCGGCCTCACTGGCCTGCCCTCCTCAAATTTTCTGACCCTCAGGTCACTTGCTGTCAACTTCAAATCACTGTCCCTGGTTCATTGTCATTTCCATCCTGAGTCTTGAGACCAGGTCAAGTCACTGTCCCTGGTTTGTCATCATTGCTATCCTGACAGTCTTGAGACTGGCTCTGTTCCCTCAGGAGGAAGCTGAGTGCCCAGCCTCACCCTTCTCTCCAAACCGTGTTAAGTGTAACACATCCTCCCTCCACAGGAGTGGGGCGTGACCCGCTTGACCTTTGAATATGACTCGGAACCCTTTGGGAAAGAACGGGATGCAGCCATTATGAAGATGGCCAAGGAAGCCGGTGTGGAGGTGGTGACCGAGAACTCCCACACCCTGTATGACCTGGACAGGTAAAGGTGGGCCCCACGGTCAGTGCAGCTGTGAACTCGGTCATTCGCGAAGTGGGACTCGGGGGGTTCAGCTAGAGGGCCACCGGGCATGACAAGAGGCGTTCCTTAGAAGCTGGAGATCAGGCCGGACGGGGTCCTGAAGGACAGGTCACAGAGCTTTACCCAGTTTGGGTGGCCCAGGGCATGGAAGCAGTTAGGTCCCATTCAGGATCTTCAGAGATTGTCCCTGAAGTGCTCTGGTCCCCTGCGCCTTGTGCTCCCAGTTCGTTGTGCCCCTCACAGCACGTGTGACCTCGTGGGCTGTCTGATATTTCACCCAGCAAATCCCTGCCCTGCAGGCCAACTGCTGCTACCCAAGATGAGTTCCCTGACTCTCCTGGCTCCCAGGGTTTCTAGACCCTGCGTTTTGATGTTGCTCAGGGGCTCTAGAGGTCCCAGTGGGGAGCCCATAACAATAGGAGCCTCCTTTCCTGGGGAAGGCCTTGTGCTTTTAGAGTGTCTAGGAGGGAACCCTCTCCTCCTCTTCCCTGCTGGAGCTGTCACCCTCCTGCTGCTACTGCTGCTTCCGAGCCAGCACCCGCCCCCCTCTCCCCAACCCAGTGGGGCTGCCAGGAGGCCAGGTCACACAGCTGTGCACGTGAGCCCTGGAGAGCCCTCGGAGAGGCGGTGTGGAGCTCCTCCTCCCGCCTCGTGCCAGAGGAGGGGGAGCGCTGCCGAGGCCACAGCAGACCTACCTCCAGTAGTGGAGGGAAAGCAGCAAACGGGGAGCTTGGCCAGTGGCCAGCGAGTCTTGCATAAGCTGCTTGCTAGCCAGCAAGAGCCCTGGGAAGCTGGCACACCAGCCCACTTCCTCCTCACGTAGACAGCCGCGATTCTCTTCATCTTCCGTAGCTGTCCTCCTTGCGTGAGTGCAGTTATGTCTCCAGTGTTCGTGGAAAATACTCTGTAACTAATACAGTGCGTCTGTACGTGTTAGCTGTTGCTATTAATCCAGCCCCAGTTTCTGATTTAGAGAGGGTAGGATATCCTCTACCTCTGTTTTGTAAACAAGGGCTAAAAAGGGGATGATTTCCAAGAAAAGAACATGTTTGCAGCTCTTGGAAAGAACTCCCTCTGGGCTCAGTGGGGTAGAGGAGGTTCCCAGGCTGAGACAGACAGACCAGGTACGGAGAAGGCTAGCGGGGATTTTGCTGTGATTAGAGAGGTACGGTCAGTCTCTGTCTTTAGGCAGCTCCTCGTGGACACCAGGGAACCCCGAGTTGAGCCCCAGCATTGGCCCCGCCTTGCTCCATTTCCTGAGTCGCCTGCTCCGGCTCTCTGGGCTTCATTTTCCCTCTCAGTAAAATGGAGATGCAGCCTCCCTTACCACCCTCAGAGCCTTCAGCGTCTGGGCGGGCAGGGATGCAAAGCAGAGGGCCTGGCCAGTGACCCTAGGTGTGCTCTGGCCCCCAGGATCATTGAGCTGAATGGGCAGAAGCCGCCCCTCACCTACAAGCGCTTCCAGGCCATCATCAGCCGCATGGAGCTGCCCAGGAAGCCAGTGGGCTCGGTGACCAGCCAGCAGATGGAGAGCTGCCGGGCTGAGATCCAGGAGAACCACGACGAGACCTACGGCGTGCCCTCCCTGGAGGAGCTGGGTGCGTACTCCCCGCCCACAGCCGCCCGCGCTGCCTTCCTCTGGCACAAAGAAATTTACTAGGGTTTTCCCTTCTTTGCCACAGTAATGCATGTCACTGTGGGAATTATAGAAAATGCAGAAAAAGCAAGATGGAGGGCCAGCCAGGTGGGGGTGAGGTTAAGGCAGCTGAATCCCACATGGCCAACTGTGCGATTCGAGGCCCAGACCCCACGGCTTGAAAAAACACACTGTGTGCATGTGTGGGTCCAAAATTCCAAGAGAAGGGAGGAGAAGAGATTGCGGTGTGGCCATCCTCCCTGGGGGTGCTTCTCCCCTTTCCCTCTCTCTCCCTCTTTCTCTTTCCCACAAGCACACATGCCCCAGAACAAAACTTAAAAAAAAAAGAAAGACAAATGGAAATAGATCACTATTACACCACCACCCAGAGCTAACCATGTTCGTTCTGGAGTGTGTCCCGTCAGGCTTTTGTCCTGTTCGTTCTCATAGCTGTCACCTTCTGTTTCTAGTTGCCTCTATTTTCGTACCTGAAAACATAGGCTCTCAGAGAGCATAGGCGCTGCCTGGCGCTGGCCCCTGTGGGCTTCGTGATGCCAGGATAACCAGCACGGCTTCCGCAGGAGGGGGCTCCCCGCCTCTCGGGGTACTGACGGCACCGCCCTTGTCGGTCTGAGCAGAGTTAGCCTTTCTCACCCGAAACCCACATTGCCGCAGCTCGTCGGAAGGGCGGGAATCTGGGCTTATTCACACCTGCCTGGAAGTCCGATGAGGGATTGGGGTCCGGAAGGTTGGGGAAGGGAGAGAAGACAGTGTCAGCGAGCAGAGAACCAGAATGACCTCAAAAAGGCCACCATGCTCAGGACCGTCCTGGCCCCTGCGTCACCGAGAGCACTGCGGCCCAGCTCTCAGGACACACCAGTGTGTGCAGACTGGCCACGCTGTCCCTCAAGGGGCCTCACCTCCGGTCCTCCTCTGTAGGGTTCCCCACGGAAGGACTCGGCCCAGCTGTTTGGCAAGGAGGCGAGACGGAAGCCCTGGCCCGCCTGGATAAGCACTTGGAACGGAAGGTACGGGGCCTGTTTGTGAGACTCGAAAGTGCGGGTGCTTATACCCACGGGCTGGGTGTACGAGCCAGGCCCACGACTCTTGGTGCCTCTCGGCTCGCACTGGCACGTCTTCCCGACGGCAGTGACAACAGCAGTAGCGATAGCGATGGCCGTGGCCGCTCCCATGTAGAGGACACCGGTGCTGGCCTCCGGGCCTCGCGTTTCTGGGCTAAGCACCTGCTTACGTGATTGCCTGTAACCTTTCCAACAGCGCGGCCAGGTAGGTATCAAGCTTCCCATTTTACAGATGATGAAATCGAGGCTTGGAGAGGTTACACAGTCGGTAGTGGGGTGAAACTCCATTCCATGTAACTCTAAAGTCTGTGCTGGGTCATCAGAAAAGTCCTGATGCATTTTTGCATAGTAAAATACGTCGTGGCCTTTCTGATGACCCAATAGATGGCTTTTCTCTCATCTGTGGGCAGGTCCCCTCACCAAGAGCTGGTCGATAAATACCGTGAGAGTAATCCTGTTGTGTTTCTGTGTCCACTCACCTTTTGCTGGGCCTCCTCCAGGGTATTGATTTCCTCTTGCGTGGACACAGAGCAAATGGTCCACTTCTAGTCCAGAGGGAGTTGACAGAGGGAGGAAAGAGGCTGGGACCCCAGAGGCGCTCCTCAGCAAGGTCGCTCAGCCCTCACCAGCCTGAGAATACGGCGCAGAGAAGGGTCTCGTGATGGAGAACAGTCAGCAGCTAGTTCCCTGCCCCTGCAGCTAGGTTACACACGAGGTCCTTAAAATCACACTTTTCTACTGGTCAGATGGCTAGGTGTTTTGTCTGCCCTGCAGGTGACAATGGAGCATGAGGCCAGGCGGGCCTACTTAGGAAGCATGTTTTTCTAGGCCTGGAGGTGCCTCGCCAGCAGTGAAGGCCCAGTAGCCTCGACCGGTCCCACCTGGGTGTTAACTCACCTTGAAAGGATGAGACCTGAAGGTCAAAGGCTCGAAGGGGACCAGCCATCTGTGCCCACATCAAGAGCTTTACCCAGAAATTCTTGGGCTCAGTTTGGAGACAAAGAGCAAACAGATGGGGCAGAAGGGTAGAGGTGACAAGTAGAGAAGCAGACTTAGACTTAAAGATGGGCAGAGTGGGGCCAGCCCATGGCCTGGCAGTAAAGGGAGCTGGATCGCACATGGCCAGTCACACGGTTTGAACCTCCGCCCTGGCAGCTCAGAAACACCCCGTGTGCATGTACGCGCAGATGCATTCCCCAAATCCTGACACAGTGGAGAAAAAGAGAAGGGACTGTGACGTGACCACACCCCGGTGTGAGTTGCTTTCTCCCACTCGCGCTCTCTTGTCTGTCTCTGGCAAGCATACATGTCCTCTGACAAATTAAAAGACAAACAAAAAATGTGGAGAGCAAACCTACGACACCATAGGTTGTACTTTTTATCACCTTAAAAGCGTTTTGTTGGGACCAGCAGGTGGCGTGATGGCTAAGGTGTAGGTCTCCCATGTGGCTGACCATGGTTTGAGTCCTGGGCCCAGTGGTTGAAGATCACGCTATGCATACATGCCCAGAATATCAGGCGGAGAATGGAGGAGAAGGGACCGCAGAACGGCCATCCCCAGAGGGGATGGTTCCTCACTTTCCCTCTCACTGCCTGTCTCTGTCTCCACTGAGTGCACATGCCCTCTGTGAAAAAAAGCTTAAAAATCCTTTTTTTTTTTGGTCAAGGAATTACCCCACATCACCAAGTCAGGAACTCCTTTCCCACACGGCTCTAGAGAGCCCCTTCTTCCATAGTCCTGTAGGTCATGAACCCATCCCGCCTCGTGGTGGCCAGAGGTAGTACCTCCACGCTGGGGTGGTGTAGACAGGTGCTGTGTAGACAGGACTGGAACCTGAGTTCAGAGGACGTGTTTTAACTCTCCAGTTCTCTAAACCCAGGGTCAGCAACTAGTCAGCCAGCGGTCTAGCTGCTGGAAAGCCTGCCGAACAAGACAAGCGTGGCGTCTTTCTCCAGAAACACACGCTGCAGGAGGCTAGGGACGTTGAACAGAGGACTGCAGACATACCTAGACCTAATACCTCAGCATTACCTGCGGCCGGCGAGCCTTTAGGTTCAGATTTGAGGGAGGAATCCCCGTCACCCAAGCAAAGGTGAAGGGAAGAGGAAGACAGTGTCCCAGGCAAAGGGAGCCGATGCCCTGAGGCTGCCGGGAGCAGGTGGTTAAGGAAGGGCAGAGGAGACAAGCTGGGAGGTGCAAGCCAGGCGTAGGACTGGGGCTCCCCCAGACGGCAGGAGTCCGGCACGCATTCTCCTCTCTGGGCCAGTGAGGAGAATGTGATGGAGGTGGTGGGGAAGACACCAGGAGGCCAGTCGGGGGCCGTCACAGGTGTCCAGTCCAGATAGGCTCTGCCCAAACCAGGTAGGCAGCAGTAAAGAAAGCAAGGACACATTTGGGAAATGTCCGCACAGTAGAATTGACGTGACTTAGTGAGGTGACGGTCGTGAAGTGATGGGCGGGCTTTTTCGCCTGGGCAACTGTGTGTTCCAAGACGGGAGAGACCAAAAAGAAAAGGGGGTTTAGAAAAAAGAGCAAGGCCTAGCCTCTGTGGCTCAGTGGTAATACAGGTGGCCTCCGAGTCTGGAAGCCACATGGCTGACCACGGGTTCAGGCCCTTGGGACATCTCGAAAACATATTGGTTGCATGAGTGCCCCAGATCCTGAGGAGCTGGAGGGCTGGACAAAGGGGATTGCAGAGTGACGAGAGCCTACTGAGGATGTCCCTGCCTCTCTTGTCCTCTATCTTACAAACACAAATGTTTTTTATCAAAAAAAGAAAGAGCACGTTCCACCAGAAGCAGCTGACGGGGCGTCTGGGCTAGAGCTGCAGGCCTGTTGTCTGCAGAGATGGCATTGGGAGCCGTGGCCCGGGTGAGCTCACATAGGAACCCAGCTGAACAGAGGACCTAGGGCACAGCCTGGGATGTCACCATTGAAGAGGTTGGGGGGGGGTGAAGGACTGAGAACAGCCAGCCCCCAGCGGACAGCCCAGGAGGTGGGCCGTCACAGAAGCAAACGTGGAGAAAACAGAGATGGGAGCAGTCTGAAGGCCGCAGTGCTGCTGGGAGGGCCGTACACAGGACGGAACCGGCCTGCACATGGGAGTCATAGGAGACTCTGGAGCCAGCACGGAGGAGGGGGAAGGCAGAAGCCAGGTGGTTGTCTAGAAAGTGCAGGTGGAGCTGGGGAGTGGATCGTGGTGGGGCAGGGGTGTAGCGAAAGAGGACCGAGGTATGGCGACCCATGGGGACACCAGAAGTCCTTTGGTTTTGGTTGCAAAGGAGAGAAGGGAGGTCGTTTTTCAGTGTTCTCGGAGTGGGAACCACAGAGAGGGAAGTCGATCATGCATGAGAAGGACGAAGGCGAGGTTCAGAGCCAGGTAGAAGCCTTGACCGGGGCAGGGCTGGAGGAGGAGAGAAGGTGAGGGCGCAGACGAGCGAGCGAACACCTTGGTTTGCTTTACCGTAAGCAGGGGAGTCACCTGCTGAAGGTGCTGGGGAGTGCGGAGTGGACGGCCCGAGGAGGGCAGCCAGTGTATGAGCACACCATCCAGGAGAGGAAGGGAGGGTGTGAAGTATTAAAGTAAGGAGACAGTTATTAATAGTTACTGGTTCCTGTAATATTATCAGAAAGAGGAAATAGTTATTAGCAGGTACTCTGGTAATATTCTTAGGAAGAGGAAATAGTGGAAAGGGCCTAGAACCCGAAGGCAGAGCCCAGTTCCCCCAGCTTGTCCCTTCCCGTCTCTATGACCCCAAGAGTCACAGGACCCTTGGAGCCAGTTCCTCATTTTCAAGAGGCGGCAACAAGAAACGCCGCCTCGGAGGACGGTTAGATCAAACGAGGAGCGCGTGGGCCAGCGTCGGGAAAGGACAGCGGAGGCCGCAGCCATCGAGGAGTGCAGCAGATGGTCCCCGGGTGACTGACACTGGTGGCCCCAGAGTGGGGAGCTCCCTCTCCCCGGCCACTGTGGAGAGGCGATGGGAAGGCCCCGGTGTCTTCACCACCACGCATGCCACAGGGGCCTCGGGAGCCCTGGCTGCAGCGTGGGCTGACATAGGAATATTTTTTCCTGCGAACTTGAAGCCTTTTTTTCTTTCTTCTGTATAATTACAGCGTTTGTTCCACATTTTTTCATCTTGGTCATTTGATTCAATCCGCACGAGGTGGAAAGTTTTGTTCTCATTTAATAGCTAGGTAACCATGAGTTAAAGAGCAAAGTCAGGGTAGGAGTAAGGGCCGTACAGTTTGGTCTCGTGGTGGCTCCTTCTCAAAATCTGTTGGCTCAGGATGAGCAGCCATGTGACGGTCCAGGTGGCTGGATCCCCGTGGCCGACTGCGCTGTTTGAGTCCTAGCTGCGGTGGCTTGAGAAACACACCGGGCACGCAAGTGTGAGTGCCCCAAAACCCAAACGAAGGGAGCAGTGGAGACGGGATTGCAGCGTGACCATGCCCCATGGGGGTGCTTTCTCTCTCTGTGTCTCTTTCCACTGAGTGCAACATGCCCTCCAGCAAAGTTAGAAATCAAAGAGTGAGTGCAGCGTTTGACCTGCCCTCAGGCGCATCCCTAGACACGTGTTCGGTTTTCCCTCTGTAACGCCAGCCCTTCCCTTGGTCCTGTCCCTGTCTGTCTCAGGCCTGGGTTGCCAACTACGAGAGACCCCGAATGAACGCCAACTCCCTGCTGGCCAGTCCCACAGGCCTCAGCCCCTACCTGCGCTTCGGCTGCCTCTCCTGCCGCCTCTTCTACTACCGCCTGTGGGACCTGTATAAGAAGGTGAGGGCGAAGGCCGCCAGCGGGCCAGGGCCTTCTGGGCCTGAAGACGGCCCTTCACTCTGGCCCTGGGGCTGGAGTTGCTTGTAGGTCCTGGAGGTGCTGAAGCAAGTGTGTCGTCCAGGGGAGGTGGGGAGTCAGTGTCCATGAGGTGGCGGAGCTGAGCGTAGACCATCACTGACGGGAATAACTTAGATGACCGCAGGCGAAAACGCTGGCCTCGTCGTGGCCCTAGAGCTGGCAGCTCTGCTGGCAGTGGGTGGCTGTGGGTAAGGTGCTCAGGGAGGGAGGGAGGGTGGCCGGGAGGGTGAGGCTGGAGCTAGTCCCAGGCCGCAGAGCACAGCCCCCTGCCCAGGGGCCATGGAAGGGGCGTCTAGGAGCCAGGGCTAGCCATCAGTGATGGAGGGCATGGCATAGAGGGGTGCACGCCATGCCATGTTTCTGAGAGGCACCTCCAGGAGAGAGGGCAGCACCCCGTGTTCAGATCCACCCGACCGTCCTCATGTCTACACTTTTGGTGTTTTTCCCTGCTCTGCCAGGATTTTGTGGGGCAGCTTTGCCAGTTTGGCGGGCGGTCTTGTGGTTTTAAGAATTCCTTTATTTGCACGAGGTCCAGTCTCTTACCCCCCTCCTGGCCCTAGAGCCAGGCTGTGGCACAGAACAAATTTACCTCACATGCTGACCGTGCATTTTCTGGGGAAAATTCCTTGTGGCGTTCTAGAAAGTGGAGCTGAGGGCTGGTCTGGAGCTTAGCCGTTAAGGGATCCAGTCCCGCATGGCCGTCCACTATCTCAGTCCCAGCCCCAGCACCTTGAAAAACGTGCCGGGTGCGCGTGCATGCGTGCCCAGGATCCCGACAGGGTGGAGAAGAAGGGGCTGTGACTTGACCATCACCTATGGGGGACTTTCTCCCACCTGCTCTGCTGAGCACATGCACCCTCTAGCAACTTAAAAAAGAGGGACCCCAAGGACAAGGGAGTTTGGCTCCTGACACAGAGCCTGCAGCAGTGTCCCTCCCCCGCCCCCACCGCCTCTGCATGCCGTCTTTCCTGCCCCAGCGGGGGTCCAGCACAGGCAGGGCCTCGTCCCTCTGCATGTCTAGGGGTTTGGACTGTCAGATCTGTGGGGGTTGCGCCTCCCCGGGGTGAGACCTGAGCATGCGGTGCTGAGAGCGGCGGTTGTGCTCACGGCCCGTCCTCTGACCCCAGGTGAAGCGGAACAGCACTCCCCCCCTCTCGCTATTTGGACAACTCCTGTGGCGAGAGTTCTTCTACACGGCGGCCACCAACAACCCCAGGTTTGACCGCATGGAGGGGAACCCCATCTGCATCCAGATCCCATGGGACCGCAACCCCGAGGCCCTGGCCAAGTGGGCCGAGGGCAAAACGGGTTTCCCTTGGATCGACGCCATCATGACCCAGCTGCGGCAGGAAGGCTGGATCCACCACTTGGCCCGCCACGCCGTGGCCTGCTTCCTCACCCGCGGGGACCTCTGGGTCAGCTGGGAGAGCGGGGTCCGGGTGAGTGCTCTCAGTGAGAAGCTGGCCTGGGCCCTCTGGGCAGGCCCAGCAAAGGGAGGCTGCTTCCAGCTGGGGTTGGGTAGAGTCCCTGGGCCCAGGGGTGCCGCGGGGACTCGGAAGACAGGGCCGCAGGTCCCCAAGGAGCTGACTGTCGCTCCCCGCCCAGGTGTTCGACGAGCTGCTCCTGGACGCGGACTTCAGTGTGAACGCGGGCAGCTGGATGTGGCTGTCCTGCAGCGCCTTCTTCCAGCAGTTCTTTCACTGCTACTGCCCGGTGGGCTTCGGCCGCCGCACGGACCCCAGTGGAGACTACATCAGGTGAAGCTTCCGACCACGGTGCTTCCTAGGATGGCACGCCCGTGGGCCCTGAGGGGTCCAGGCTGACTGTGCACTGACCTTACGTTTCAGGCGATACCTGCCCAAACTGAAAGGCTTCCCCTCTCGGTACATCTACGAGCCCTGGAACGCCCCCGAGTCCGTTCAGAAGGCAGCCAAGTGCGTCATCGGAGTGGACTACCCACGGCCTATCGTCAACCACGCCGAGACCAGCCGGCTCAACATCGAGCGCATGAAGCAGATTTACCAGCAGCTCTCCCGCTACCGCGGCCTCTGTAAGGCACCTCCTGGTCGGGGCTCGGGGGGCGGGGCTTCCAGGTGTCCGCAGAGGGAGGCTGATGCTGCCCTCAGGCTGTGAGGTGGACTTGACCTCCCCAGGCACAGGACACTGCAGGTCGGATGGCCTGGGGCCCGAGTGGCTGCAGGCAGCGGGAGGAGCTGGCACCTGTGTCCGCCCTTCCTGCCACCTCGCTGTGCCCAGCCCGCAGCCATCTGCAGGCCCACGTGACCACGCTCTGCCCCCTCCACCCCCAGGTCTGCTGGCGTCTGTCCCTTCCTGCGTGGAAGACCTCAACCACCCAGTGGCAGAGCCCAGCTCGAGCCAGGCCGGGGACAGGAGCAGCACAGGTGAGCAGCACGGCCTCCCTGTGTCCCCACTTCTGTCACTCAGGCTGAGGCCAGAGGCTAGCTGAGCCCTTCCCCTGTGTAGACAGTATCCCTCCTGGGGCAGGCAGACAGTAAAGAAGCTAAGTAAGACATTATGGGTGACGCGTGGCTTGGGGGAAGTGAAATCGATTGGCTTAGGGGAGCTGGGAAATAGCGGTTCCTTTGGGTTGGAACAGTCAGGGAATGACCTCTTGGAGTGGACCCCCAAGT